TTTAATATAACATCTTTATATCTTTCTATGATTTTAAGCCAATATTTCATTGATTATATTATTTATATTTATATCATTTATATGATATTCAAATATTTGTTTTTAGATATTTCACCTAGCTATCTTCCAACTATCGGCCTTTTATATTAAAAAATTTCAACCAGTGTTTGATATACATTAACAACGCTCTGATATAGTATCATTCTCCTTCTGAAGGTTGTACTATATAGAGTCTGTCAATTGTCCCTGTTTTAGTTTTTCAACACTTCCATATATGTTGTGCCTGATTCTATGTGTAATAAGCTGGAAAGTTGACATAGGTATATGCATTTACTGCAACATTTTTAGCATTTTCTTTAAACCAAAAAGTCAAAGATTGTCATGCGTGAAGTAGCACATTCTGCAACATCAAGCACATCTTCTTCATCATGAAAAGATATATAATCCCGATCCAGAAGATGTACTGCCAATCTCTGTATGTTAAGTGCTCGGCCATGTATTTTATAATGAAAAATCCTCTAAATGCTTTCAGACGCTGAAACATATCTCGCGTCTAAATATATTTTGATTTTATAGACTATTTCACTTTCAGTTGTTTGTTGAACACTCGTGTTATTAGAATGAGTAAGTGTAATAGTTGCATGATCATAACCTTTATAAACATATTTAAACAAATATTTTATAGCTAAAATTGAACTACATATCTCAACATTAAGATGAGCATTATATTTGGTAACCAAATCGATATTATAAGGCACAACCCATCTGTTATCAAATCAAAAGCCATTTCTTGATTCAGCTAAAAGGCTATTATTCCGTTTACAGTATATAAGATATCTGCTTTGACATTCTTGTGTGGTTTCTTGAAAATCTTTAGGATAGTGCTTTTGGCATATGCTATCTCTCATACACGGTGCAGATGAGTTTGATCGACTGCATAGTCTATGCATCATAGTAGTTTTTATAGTTTTATAAGCAAGAGGATATTTAGAAAGATCTGGAAGTTCTGCAGAAACAATAGAGTCATAATTATCTGTAGTACGTAACTTGTTTTCTGGGGCTAGTATTAGTAGAATATGTTATTAGGTAAGCCACATTTCTGAAACTCTACTATATATATATACGCGATAACCTTTCTGAGCTAATGCCTTTCGCATAGGTCTTTTAGAAGTGCTTGAAGTTTTATGTGAAATACTCGAGCTATTAAATTGGGCCTATTGGCAGCTTGTTGATGAGGCAACAATTCGGGGTAACCTCTGGCCATTTTGGATTACATGTAAAAGTAACAAAAAAATCTAGTTTTCCAAAATGCCATATAATAGCTATCGTATCCTGGTATAATTGATACATTTGATGTGAACCACCGACAAATATTGAAGGAAGAATTATGCATTGACCGATATTATTAATACCATCTCCAGTGTGCAATGCATCCATAATACCCTTACACTGTTTAATTCGAAGAGATGACTAGTTCTGTCATAAATAGTTCAAACTATTTTGGCGTATTGGTTAACAATATATTGTTGAAATAAACACTCTGTATAATGCAACCATTCTCCATCTCTAATCTGCAGTCTATAAGAATAAAATTGCATTGCAGTTACTTTGTCTCTCTTTTTAGCTTCTGCAAGGGGTATATCTATATGACAACTATCATCACCTCTGGAAAATAGTAATACATAATAAAGCAGATCATAGGATGGATGAATTTCTGATATTTTTCAAATACCTCCTTCGCACATTCTAAGAATTATATCTTTATTAAATAACTCTAAGTCATAGCCATCACCAACCATAATCACAGCAATATCAGAGGCGGTAGATATATTGTATCTTCAGGGGGTCATAGGTTCGATCACTATGAATTACCATTGAGATTTCAGCTATTGCATTCATTTAAATAAAATCTCTTGTCTGATGAAAAATTTGAATATATGGACTGCATTCATCTAGCATATCTTGAAGGTGTTGAAGACAATCATCATTTAATCCCTGCATAATATTATGTCTATTTTCAGTTTCATACAAGATGTCATAGATATATAGCTAGGCAAATTTTGGTGTTTGACTTCTTCTGGTAGTAATGAACCGATATGATAATAAACTTGCCCATAAATTTGAAAGTTGAATACACAATGTTTTTGAAATTTTTTATCGATATTAGCACCAAATGAAGTACATACTAAAATGTTGTTGTAGGCCCTGATGTTTTTGCGAAACTCTTGTCCAACTGATCCTTCTGCGGTAAATAGATTTAGCAAAAAAGACTGTAGTTTGTTTAAATTTAGCAATTGGACCTTGCTATCAGAACAACATATTGCAAAAGTTGGTGATGTTTTATTGCTCTTGCAATCTCTTTCTTCAATCCAAAATTTAGCATTATAATAGGTGCAGGTCTGATTCATTCTTCCAAGTTCAAGGTGAACTACATTACGATGCTATCATTTTTGGATTTGATGGTTGCTTAGTATAGAATTAGACAAAGATTCATTTTTATTAACTGCTGAAAAAGCATCAGTGCTAGTTACTTCAGCTGCACAGAGAGGCACAGATTTGGATAAGTAAAACTGCTCAAATTCAGGTTTTGGTTTATTTCTAAACATAACAGAACTAATATTTGTATTAATAACTTCAGGAAAACTCAAAAGCTCAGACACAGGTAGATGATCTATATTAAATTGTAGATCTATCACACTAAAAAAGTCTAAGTTGGATAAGCGACTTTGTTTTGAATTGTCAGATCTTTCTAATTGTAAAGTTAAGTTATTGATGACAGGTTCTACTGTATTAAAAGTGTATAAATTGGTTGCGCAATTTTGTTCTATAATTTTTGGCCTATTTACTCTTAAGTTTTTATCATTAATTATATTAAAAGGGTATGAATTGGTAGCACAAATTTGTTCTATACTGTTTAAATTAACTCTTAAATGGTTGTCAGTAACTATATTAAAGGTATATAAATTTGTTACGCAAATTTGATCTATACTTTTTGATCTATTAAATTCTAAATTTTCATTATTGTTAATAGGTTCAATTATACTAAGGGGGCATGATTTGTGCAAGGTATTTTGCTCTAAAATTTTAGACTTTCCTACACCTAAATTTTTATTGTTAATTTTTTGTTTTTTCCTAAACCAGCTTTGTCTTTCTTTAGCTAGTCTTTTTTTACATTGCTCAGGCATTTAATTGGTTCAGAGTTTACACCTAGTACATGCATAGTAGACACAGATAAGTTTTGCTCAAACATTGTTGCAAGTTTTAAATTTGTAGCTACAAAGTGCTGTCAATACGATTATATATTACTAGTTTAGATTACTTGATAAAAGGTGTAATAAACTTAGATTCATATTATAAAGAGGAGAGATTTTTAAATACTAAGGTACTTTTTCGAATAAGCAAAAAAAAAACTTTATTGTAATAAAATATTAGGAAATATGTATTAAATGGTTTTACGTAACAAAAATTGAGAAGGTATTAAGAAACGTGTATTTATAAACATGTGGTGCTTAATTGATTGGATAAGCAGGATCTGTATAAATAAAACATCTGACCTTATTATACTAAGTATTCTAAATATTATTGTTATACAGATTCTGCTATGAAGCACATGATTATGGTATTCGATAGATTTGATATTATTTATATTAAGTATTCTTAACATTTCTGTTACAGAGTTTATATTTTGAACATGGAGTTTCGGTTTTTTGTATATTCACTATATTTTTTATGTGGTATATTCTAAATGTTATGGTCATATGGGTTTATATTGTGAAACATGGGGTTTCAGTTTTCTGTTGATTCAATTTTTTTTATATAGCATAGTCTAAACATTATATTATACAGGAATGCTGTGAAACTATCATTTTTTTTTAATTTAGTAATAGATTTATTATATAATATAATTTATCATTATAAATATAAAAGATAAAATAGAAAATAATCTAATTTATATAATATTATTATTGTTACTATTATCATTATATTATTATAAAATCAATATAAAAATAATATTATACAAAAAAGAAAAATGACTAAATATAAGTATAATTCATATTCTATAATTCATATTCTATCAAACAAAAAAGAAACAAATTGTTATCTATACTAAAAAAAATAAGAAAAATAAAGCTGCAGCAGTTTTTAAACTAGATTCTAATATAGTTGGTCATTAAATTAAAACAAGTAGACTATAAAAAGTTAAGATAAAATAAAGTACCAAGTGAATTGGTTCTGATCAAAAAAATTTTTATTCTAAAAAAAAAGCTATATGATTAGATTGGGTATTTTTTATAAAATTGTATATATTAAGATTTAAAGAAATTTGATATAATAACTTTATAGTAGTATTATCACAGGACAATTGTAGATAGTAAGTTTTAATACTTTATACAATTTTGAACAATTAAATAAATTAAAATTACTTAAAATTTTATTAAGATAATCTATATTAATCTCTAAGCAAAATATGTTTAAAACCTAAACAAAATATATAATTATATATTTTTTAAACAAAATTATTAATTAATAAAGCTTAGATATGCTTTGAATACTTTGAATACTTGAATACTTGGACTTTAGACAGTGTTGACATTAAAAGTTTTACACATTTTTGACCATAACTTTTGATGTACCAGACCAATTTGGATGAAACAACTACCATTGGATTCAGCTCACTGAGACGGTTCTAAAGAGCACAAGATCATGTGATTC